GAAAATTTCTCAAATTTAAAGTATATGATAATCATATTATATAGAAGTTGTGGGAGACATAACACCTTCTTCACATTTAATATATCAACCCTCCTATTCCAATTAATTTCCATGTAAATTTTGGTGATCTATCCCACCTTATTTAGATAGATGATGACTCCATCCATTTCGGTACGTCAGCACTACACTTTAAAAGTGTTAGGTTTCAATATTGAAATGAGTCAAAAAGTATTAAGAAAAGAGAAAATTTTTTTTATTGCATATTAATTTTGTCATCATATATGAGATTTGAGAAAAGAGATCACCATCACTTGTTATATAAGTAAAAAAATAAGAAATAAATAAAAAAAATAGTAATTATTGGTGCAAATATGTGTTGTGTGGAATGAATTAAATTAAACTATTAAATTTTAACTGTTGAATAAGGGATAGAGTACTTAGTATTAAAGGTTGTCTTTCATCCCATTTAATAATTTTTATTTTATAATTTAATATAATATAAATTACATAATAAAATACTTCCACTGAAAAATTAAAGATATGGGGAACATGAAAAGTTACGTGGAGAATCGGTGTTGCCTAATAATTCATTGCTTTTTAGCGATTTCCATGCACACATACAATGTCATTAGTGGTATCGATACTGTACTCGTCATCCCAATAAATATTCAACATACGAATTTATATATATTCTCTCAAATCAACAAATTTTTTTGGTCGAAATGGTATCATCCACATAGGGGTCGAACTAATTCAAAGGTGTGGCTTTGAAGAGAAAGTGTATATCACACTGGATTTGCCTAAATGCACCAAATTTAGCAGTAGAATATATAGGTACACTTTAAACAAGTTAGCGAGATTTTGAACCAATTAATTAAAAATCTAGGGACTAAAATCTCGTAACACTTATAATTAGGTTGTGGGTTTGACCCCCTAAATGACTAGCTTTCTTTAATTTTTTTTTTTATTTTACATATTGTGCCTATCTGATCAAATCTGTACTAAATGCAGTTATACTATCTTTATATTTGTACTTCATACATATATATATATATATATATAAAGTACACTTTTTTCAAAACAGAGCCAACAATGTCCTTCAATGGTGTCTTAAGTTAGACAATCATATATATTACAATAAGCAGTGCGTCAGGTGTCAGGTCCATTGCCCATTGGCCATCATACACATCCAACCCATTAATCCAAGCAGATATTAACAGTCTTCAGTTTCCTGGCTATTGCTGGCGAAAGATAAAAAAATGCTTTCCTGACTACTAGAAATTGGTAGGCAAATCCTATGTTAAACTTTCAAATTTTCTTCAAAATTCTAATTAAATTTTTAAATTTTTATTGAAACAAATAAAATTTTAAATTTGGTAATTTAAACAATTTAATTATTTTATTTATGATGCACTTAACACATGTTTATACTGTACTTCTATAAATAAGGTCAATATTTACCACATAACTAATGATATATCAATATTTAATCAATGATATGTCAATACTTTACCAATGTGAGGCATATACGGTCATTAAGTTTGCCACAAAAAAAAAAAAAAAGAAGAAAGAGGATTAAACTACCCCAATTACAAAGTTTAGGAGTTTATTTGCTTTAACAAAAGTTTGAGAGTTTAATAAAAAATGTAGGTTAAAACCCTTTTTTGGTCCCTGAATTATTGTACGGACCTCGATTTAGTCCCTGAACTAAAAAAATCCCTGATTTGGTCCCTACTGTTTACCATTTTTACCCCGATTTGGTCCTTCC